TGTGTGTGTGTGTGTGTGTGTGTGTGTGTGTGTGTGTGTGTGTGTGTGTGTGTGTGTGTGTGTGTGTGTGTGCACACAGACCCACATCAGGACCACCTGGACCTGCTGGTTCTGTAAGGTGCAGGTTTAAAACGCAGCAGTGATGAGAACTGTTCAGATCCATCAGGAGGGTTCTGMCCCAAACTGYGSTTTCACTGAGACAAAGTTCTGACCCGGCTCTCTGACCCRGGTTCCTGAAGCAGAACCCAGACATCAGATGGTGTTTGTGTTTTTCAGAGACCGGTAAACGAGGAGAAGTCCCCGGTGGGTCCCTGGCTGCTGGCGCTGTTCGTCTTTGTGGTTTGTGGATCAGGTGAGTTCTTCTGCAGCTGCTTTGGGTCAGAACCAGTTCTGTCTGTAGAGTGTGTGATCGGATCAGTACTCTAGAACCGTTGGTTCTGGTCCAGAACTGAACTGAAAGCAAAGAAAAAGATCATTTAATTTCTGAACACAAACTGAAGTGAAGAACAAAAAAGATCATGTCACTGGTTTCCTGTTACCATGGAAGTGGTTTGACACACAGAGATAACATAAACAAAACAGGAAGTAAAACAAACAACCTGTCACTTTTTATCAGACAGGAAGTCATGAGACAGAACAGTCAGTTCTCCTTCCTCTTCATCTTCATCTTACTTCTGATGACTTCAGGACATCTTTGAGATAAAGCAATGTTCTTCAGACACTTTTAATTAACATGTGGATGGTTCACATGTCATCTGACATGTTTACATGTCATAACATGTTAACACCATGACATGATGTGTAAACATGTCACATGACATGTAAACATGTCAGATGACATGTAAATCACATGTAAACATGTCAGATGACATGTTAAAATCATGTCACATCATGTGTAAACATGTCACATGACATGTAAACATGTCAGATGACATGTAAATCACATGTAAACATGTCAGATGGCATGTTAAAATCATGTCACATCATGTGTAAACATGTCACATGACGTAAACATGTCAGATGACGTAAATCACATGTAAACATGTCAGATGACGTGAATAACATGTAAACATGTCAGAAGACATGTAAATCACATGTAAACATGTCAGATGACATGTGAATAACATGTAAACATGTCAGAAGACATGTAAATCACATGTAAACATGTCAGATGACATGTGAATAACATGTAAACATGTCAGAAGACATGAATAACATGTAAACA